GGGGGGGGGGGCGGGCGGCGGCACGGAGCTACCGGGACACCGGGCTACCGGTGCCGGGGTCCGGTAGGGGGCTACCGGTAGGGCATGCCGAGTGCCAACGTACGTAATAATCTGAGAAAAATGTTTCTTTCCCAAGGTTTTCAACTTGCACAGCCACAGAGACTGCAATTATATAGCTGTGTATATATATTTATGGGACGTGCGGTCATCCTCACAAGACAAAACATACGATGACATATTATTATTTGTCCGCCGATCTTTATGTATGACTAATTGCGATCATTTTAATTGTCAAAATCGCTGAAATTGCACATTTCCTGTTGAAATACGGGGTGAAACGTGATGTGCGGCAGCAAGGAGCCGAGCTGAACCTCTGATTGCGCAATCAATCCCAAACTGGGCTGTTGGTGTCTGTCGGCGTATCGCTGAAATACGTTTCTATAGTCTGATTTTGGAGTCTGGCTAATGTCTTCAAGAATGTCTGTCTGTCTGTCTGTCTGTCTGTCTGTCTGTCTGTCTGTCTGTCTATTTATTTCCCGGATATATTAGTGTGTGGTTGAAAGGGTGAATAAGGTATATTAACCCTTTATAGGGCACTCAATGAAATACTTTAAAATAAAAAAATTCAACCTTATTAATGGCATCAGAATACACTACTCCGTAAAAATCTTCAAACCGCGATTTTCTTTTATGTTTGTGGCAAGTTCAGTCTTTTTTTTTAACGAAGAATTGTGGACTTGACCGAAGTGATACTTAAAAATATGGGCAGAGTGGGACCTCAAATAAATACATTCTTTGTGTGTCATTGTTATTGTGTATCCTGGCTTTACCACAAGATGGCGGTAAATGTTTGCTCATGAACGACCTATGCGTTGGATGTAGTACATGCTGTGTACAGTGGATTAAGCTATCCACAACAAATAGTTACTGTTTATTGCCATTTTAGTATTGTTTGATTTTAAAACTAGTGTATTTCATATGTATTTTAAATCAATTAAATAAACGTAGTTATAAAAGTGCATACACACACATATATTTATATTTGAATATATATACCGAGCATGAAATACTTTTTTACATTTATTTTCGTGTACATTCGGAGAGTAAAAGACGTTAGAGGACACCGTGTTTTAAGTGGATCATCCTGTTTGAATGGCTAAAGGTTTATAAAAAGCTTCAGTGGAGAAGGGATTCTGGGAAAGGTAGTTCTCAAAGAAACCAGCGGATATGACGTAAACGTTGTGCAAGTTGGTAGCTAGGTGTCGTCCGCAGTCTGCTTTGCAGCAGTTGGATGAATCGGTCGACGCTGACAGTCCTTGGGATATGACAGTGCTTTTTGTAGTAGAGAGCTAACTTTAGCTTGGTCATTAGCTGACTGTCAGGCTTTTGGGATTACGCCGGTCGAAATAGATAGATTGCGGTGCCGGGGCGACTTTTGCGAAAAGTTGTTTCTCTTTTATGTTAGCTTTTGTATCTTTATAAGATGACAATATTAGCGGCGTGCTTTCAGGTAACGGGAGCTCATTTAACTTAAGCTAGATGGTGAGCTAGCGTGTCATCAACTTGTGAATATCTAAACTTCATCTTTGTGCGGGCCACAACATCCAAACTGTTCATTATTGAGGGTCGCTAGTGGGACTGCTAGCCATTTTGTTGTAGCCAGGTAGCATAACAACGTGCAACAAGGAACCGGTGAAAAGGATAGCTAGCACAGCAAAGCTAGCCGGTTTGAATTTGTAATATGAAAAAGGTACAGTCTGACACATTGGGTTTTGTTCCTCAAAAAGATATCGTATACAACAAACTTTTGCCGTACGCGGATAGGCTAGATGATGAATCCAATGACATTTTGAGCAAAATTAAGGGAAATCTCGGCCGAGCTGTGCAGTTGAGAGAGATATGGCCCGGTGTCCTTTTTTGGACGAGGAAGCTTTCCACGTAAGTAACACTCACCTCTGGCTTTCTAACGGAACTTGAACTGTTGTCGCTCTTTTGTCTGATCTATTCCATGCTGACCTACTTGGAGTTATATCAACAGACGTTTTAATAACTATATAACGCAATGTTAAAAATGTGTTGATGTATAGTTTTTAACTCCTAGAAAACTTCGATCTGCTCTGTGTATCTGATAAGGAGTGAAATAGGTTTCATAATGAGAGCCGTGAAGTGTCAAATACATGACCCAGACAGCAGAGTACAATAGTAGGTCATAGCTATTACTGCGGTGGGTGTCTTCCGCTTTTGACACATTATTTTCTGATACAGTGAGACAGGTGACAACCCGCCCAAAAACAAACAGACCATATACCTATGTATGACTTGTGAATTCATTTTAAGTTACTGTAAGTTGCCCTTATGGATCTTCCACTTTACCCCCAGCTATCATAATGCAGTGTCATGCTTGTGGAGAAAAAAAGTTAGGCTAATAATCTGTGGTAAAATTAAAACTTTATTCATAAATCAGATTATAGACATGGCTCTATGGTTACTGTTTGCATTAAAAAGAAGTAGCATCACATTAGTAAATATAACAACATGACAATGGTTTTATTGTTTGGGTTTTACCCCGTCCTGGTCTCTGAGCTTTGTTTAATCCATCATCTGTGCTGCAGCATTGCTCTGAGCAGTGACTTGCTGCCAGCTCAGAGACACAGAAAGTTTGCCCAGATTTCAGGTCATAGTATGTGGGATTCTAAATGGGGTTTCGTGAAAAGTTTTGTTGCTTTAATCACAGATATGAACTGTCATTATCTAAATCTTTGCTTCTTATTAAGGTACATGAGATTGTACGGGCGGAAGTTCAGCAAAGAAGACCATGTGCTGTTCATAAAGCTCCTCTATGAGCTAGTGACCATCCCCAGACTGGAGATCAGCATGATGCAGGGCCTGGCTCGCCTTCTTATCAACCTTCTCAAGTAAAAATAAGCCCCATCTCTTTTCCTGTCATCAGACCTGAAACTTGCAGTTACTTTAGATTTCAAGTTAAACTTCCCATGGACGCATGTCTGTAGGTTTCACAGTTGAGGCACATACAGTTGGTTAATTTTCTAACTATATGGATGTGTTATTGATCCAACAGGAAAAGAGAACTACTGTCAAGGGAGGACCTTGAGTTGCCGTGGAGACCGCTGTATGAGTTATATGACAGGATTCTGTTCTCAAAGACGGAGCATCTGGGCCTCAACTGGTTTCCAAAGTATGACCATTCTTCCTAAATTTTTCATAGGTTAATCTTAAGTGTGGGAATTATTAACTTCTTTACTTTTATTTGTAAACATATGTTACCTTACCTGCTTCTCACCAACTAGATGCATCTATGTTGCATCACCTGTGCCAGGGACGTGTTTTTCCAACGCTCCTGCACAGCTGCTTTTATCAGTGACTAACAACAGCTGCCGATCACATGGCCGAGCCGCACATTACAAAAGTCTGTCGTTCTCAGTGCTCATGTCCATGAAAATATTGTGGAAATTGCAATACTTTTAAATTCTTTCTGTGGTGATTTGTAAAACAACAAAGCAGTTCTAAGTAAGTGAATTGATAATTAAATAGATAAATATATTATTTGTATAATAATGTATAAGGGGTGGTTTAAAAAAACAAAACAGAAAGCAATAGTGGGTCAGATGGTTGAATAACGTTAAAAAAGCTGTCCATATCACGCCTTTCCAGTGTTAGTAGTATCTATTTTAACCTATCTGAAGCGTTTGAGATAAAGGAACTATTTATCAATTGACCACATTTCTTTCTCTATCTCCTGTTTTTGTCGACCACATAATGGTCCAACATTATCATCTTTTTAGAAACATGTAAGATTAGGTCTCCCTTTTTTTGTAAAGTAAAAAAGTCTCGTCTTCCTTTTAGTAGGACTGACTGATTTGGTAATCTTCTGCTTTGCGCTCAAAGAGCACATCTGAGGTTGTTCATTTGGATTTTGTACGATTCAATTTCTTAATTGATTTTTTTTATTTTATTTAAATTAAATTATTTTTTAATTTTATTTTTTTTCCTTCATTTACCTTTGTTAATGATGTTTAATAGGGCCAGTCTGGGGAGAGCATGTGGAACATGTTTGAAATCACACACTCTTTTATAATGGTGCTTTACACAAGTAGCATTATCCACCCTGAACCTTTCATCCAGCATAGTTTATAGAAGAAGTTTATCCTCTCACAATTCTTTTGAATTTTCAGCTTAATCTTTTGGCAAACGGGTCGAGGGGTTTCTTTATGGTGCTGTGGGAACATTGAACATTCGTACTTTTACCACAAACTGCCTGCTGGCACATAATTTTAACATACAGCCTATGGAAATTAGCGGCTTTTGCTGACTGCTCGCTCACCTCTTTAAAAACCGCAAAAAGTATACTAATACACACAAATCAGGATTCTTTTGGTGCATAAATGTCTAAAAAGTTGCCACGTGGCTTTTTGGCACTTTTTTGTGTGCTGAAAGTGTTCTTTATGCCTTTGTCTCCTTTTACATGTAGTTCTCCACGGCCTCGCTCCTACTCTAAACTCATAATGTTAAAATTGGTTCAGTGGTGGTAAGGACAAAACTTCTTTGTGTTTCATTGGAATTCGCTCTCTCTGGCACTCGGTTGCTTTTTTTGTACACAGTGCATGTGGAAACATGAACAGGTGGGCACCCTAAATGCAGTAAGACTTAATGTTAACATATCACTCATATTGGACACTGTCGCACTGCAGCTAACAGGTTTTCTTTTGTTCTACTGCTCTTCAAATAGACCCGTCAGAAAATGTTATGACTGTTTTGTCTTGTTTTCTTCTTGGATTTCTTCTTCTTTATCATCATTATTTCCTGATTTTTCTTTTTTTGGTAAATAAAAAAAATACTAGTGTCAGGTTTGATGAGCCATTATATATCATTAAAAACACCCTAAGATTAGCTACAGAATCATTTTTGTAAGTTAAAGCTTTTTGAATTCACTCTCCTGCTTTGTTGTGAAGCTCGTCATCCCTGCTTAACTAAACAGCATTTGGAGAACTTTCTTAGGAGCATAACTTGTCTCCTGCCTCTTCCTGTATTGAAAGAGGAAGGAGTATTAGGTTGAAAATTTGAGTGAGTTCAAACTGGGATACAGAGGTCTCACAAGCTGTTTTCACGCATTAACACTGGAGATCTTCAGAAGAAAGCTGGGACATAAACTTGTTGGGAGCAGCAGGTCTTAGTCTGAGCAGTGAGTATAAAGATTAGCAGAAAGGGGAATAAAAGAGCAGCTCACATGCAGCAAATGCTCCAGATTATGTCATCGTCTCACCTGCTGAGGCTCTGGCAGGCTAGAAATACCTATGACACAAATTCAGTGGACTTTCCCTCTCGCACGTGCCGCCGCTCCGAAACGTTTATCAGACTTTTCAACAAGTGTGTGAAACCGGCTATGCTGAAAGCAGCGTTTGTTCCCCCAAATGTCAGAGAGCTCACTGCTAGTGGGCTCATTTTAACACCATTATCCAGTTCCCACATATGACAAGATGCTTTGTAAGCTAATTTATTTATGTGTATTCTTTTCAGTCTTACTGATTTGGGATTTTCACGTCTACATATTATGCCATAGATAAGAAATAGATGACAAACATTGATGTATTTGGCCGTAAATGTCCTTCACAGTTTAATCTGTCTCGGTTCTGCATGCCTCGGTGTGACTGCTGTTTGGCTAACACCAGTGGTTCACTGGCATGTCAATAACACTTCTTACTCCTTTTCTTTGCCCGTAGCTCAGTGGAAAGCGTGTTGAAAACACTTGTGAAAAGCTGCAGACCGTAAGTACTTCCTAATATACTTGTCCTATATATGCCCTTTAATGCCCTGTCTCACGCTGACGTCACATTTTGGCACCTGCAGGGTCCAAGTTAAACCTCTGTGTACAGGTTTTAGCTCTCTTGGCTTTTTGCTTTGTATTCACCAATATGACTGTTTCTACCACCGCATGTAGCTGTTAATTGAATGTGTTAAATGAAAAAAGTATATCCAGGAAAGATGGCAGATGCCTCAACAAAGCCCTGGTCTGGTGTAAATGCTGGAGCGGGTGTACACATTTAGCTGTAGTTCTCACTAAAATGCTCCATCAACCAAAACATTCTGGCGTCACCAGCAGGTCCTCGTGATCCAAGTTCACCAGAGTTGTTCTTTTAGATGTCTTAGTGAAGCACTAGGACTCGTACCTCAGTTTGCACTTACAGAAGGTAGATAATCCTATTACCTCATCTAATTCTGTCTTGTGTGAGAATTTCACGTAACTGTGACAAGGAGGAGTGATTTGTGGTGAGCTGCTCTGGATCAGCAGCGAGGCACGGCAACGTTCAAGTAGTCAAACCTTCTTTTTCTTCTTTCTCCAAGGCTCTCACTGAATGTGGCAATTGTGTTGACCTCAAATAAGCTTTATACAAGCACATAATGAAAACCCAGTGGAACAGTGGGATTTAAACTAACACCTCAAATGTGCCAGGTGTTGGACTTTTAATCTCTGATCTGCGGTTCTCCGCCACAGAAATAACAGGGGGTTTCTGTCTCACTGGAACATCAGTGTCCTGTTTCATATAGTTCGACCCCTGATATTCCAGAAGTTAGTGCTGCAGTGACCAAATTGGCGGTGGCCATGTTGGTGTCTGACCAAGATGGGTGATTTAAATGAGTAGAATCCAAGAAAACGTCCTTTTTCTTTAAATGGATACCATGCTTTCGTACACAGTACATTCAGGAGATGATAAAAACTGCATGATTATTGGTTTAATTTCAAAAGAATACCTGATTAAGATTTTCTGTATTCATGCAGATACTTCTCAGAGACCGCTACGCAGGAGATGCTGGATGAGTGGAGACCACTCCTGTGTCCCTTTGATGTCACCATGCAAAGAGCAATCAGCTACTTTGAGCTCTTTTTACCAACAACTCTGCCTCCTGAGCTGCATTGCAAGGGTTTTAAGTAAGAAACCTCTTACCCTCCTCTCCTTTTTAGATGGGGCCGAATGATTATAGAATATCAGCCTAGCTTGAAGCCAGTGTGGCTAACTGAATGTGAATTAGAATGAAGAATGGCTTGGTCTCTGTGGGGTGGGGGGATTGAATGGAAAGAAAACTGACAGTACCACAGTTGTCTTCAGTGGTGGAAACGTCAGCCAGCACCAAAGGTAGCAGCCCCTGATACAGACGTCATGACAGCCACCCTGGGCTGGCAAGCATGATGGAAAACACGTCTGACTGAATATGTCATTATTAGGCCGTGAAGATGAGCAAGATAACACAACCTGGAACTGAGGCCCAGCTCCAGTTTATTGTTTTCATAACTCTTTAGATACAAAAAGGTCATTATTATTTTTTTTCACAGCGTGATTCAAAGTGTTGCTGATTTAAAAAAATCAATTAAACACACATTAGTAAATCATAGTGTTGAAATGTGGTGAGGGAGTTTTCCAGGCCCCATATTTCTGGCAGAGCATTCCTAAAGCGTGACCGACAGATATGAGAGCTACATAATGCCTAAAAGTGCTGATTCATCCCACCACCGTCGCCATCTGAGACGAGCTGCCGTCCTGGTACTGCTTTCAATAAAGTCTTCATTTGGCACAGCCTTTGTAACCTTCTGTCTCTCTGACAGGCTGTGGTTCAACGAGCTGATCAACCTATGGGTGTCTGTGCAAAATCTCCCAAGCTGGGAAGTTGTGAGTACATAAATGTTTTTAAGAACCTTTTAAACACAGCTGGAGGATTTTCTTTTGTAACGTGTTATTCTCCACATTTACAGCACCTGGTAAATCTCTTTGCTCGCTTGGCCAACGACAACATTGGCTACATTGATTGGGACCCTTATATTCCCAAGGTTTGTTTTTGTCTTCTTTTCTGATTAACACATCCTTACACAACTGAGTACGTATTTGTTTTTGAGGATTGTGGCACATGCTCCCATCTGGTCTCACGGTTTCTATTTCATGACTTTTGCCGTTTGTCAGTGGCGCACTCTATCAGGTTTCTCAGCCTTAGAGTTTAAGTAACTTGCATCACATTTGTGCCTCCTATGACACCAAAGTGTCTCTGGTAAACATAAACAAACTTAACATAACATAAAACATCCCAGATGTTTAGTCTTCTGATCTAGACATTAAACCGCTTTTTTTTTTCTTGTTGACATTTCAGATTTTCACAAGAATTTTGAGGAGCTTGAATCTTCCTGTGGGAACCAGTCAGATGATGGTCCCGCGCTACATTACCAATGCTTACGACATCGGCCATGTGGTGCTATGGGTTTCGTCTCTTCTGGTTAGCTTATTCACCATAAAATGTATTCAGCACTCCCTGTATTTTGTGCACAAGAGTGCTCAGAGATCTTTACTGTGCCATTTAGGGAGGACCTAGCAAGCAGGCTCAAGCCCAGCTCAGTGGCCTTTTTAACAGTATCACATCCTTCTTCCACCCATCAAACCATGGCCGCTGGCTGGTGAGTATTTTCTTACTTTTTGTTGACCACTGCGCATCCACTGAGACCATAAAACTGCTTGTATTCTTTGTTTTTCACACCATCAGCAGTTTTTTTCCTTGTGTTTAACAGGGCTTCAGTAACACTGACAGATTAGCAACAATAGGTTCTGTTGAAGTCTCATTAGGGGCAGATGCCTATGGTTTTTGTTGGGGAAATCAATGGTTCATTGTTTTGGTCAGTTTTTGGATGCCAGTTAAAAACATGAAAAGAAGGAATATTTTCTGTGTCACAGGATGTTAACATGCTCCCAAACACTGCTCACTTATCATTTTGAATATTTCAGGGTATTTGTTTTTTGATATGATCACACCAACATGACAAGATGGCTAATGAATTAAGGGAAAGTAGAGATTAATAAAACTCTAGACAACCTGGTTTCCTTTCTGACGAAATGATCAAGAAAATGTCAATTTTACTTTTGCAGAACCTTTTTCAAAGGTTAAATAGTCAAAAGAGATAATCCCAACAGAACACTATGTGCTTTGATTAATGTTTATTCATAGGATTGGCAGCATAAGCAAAAACTCAACAACTGTCATCACATTTCAGTTCAAGCTCAAAATAGAAACCTGATTCTAAACTTGGAATAGAAATTAGTTACATGTTTCAAACTGAAGCTGGGTCTCTTCCAACCGCTCTGTTGCTTTTAGTCAAAGAATAAAGGAACTGAAATTGTGCTAAATACTCAGAACAGGTGGACAGGTGACATCATTTTGTTTTTTGTTTTTTCAGACTTTTAATAAAAATTAACCGAGCAGGGCCTTGAGGGTCTGAAAAATGCACACATTTGTTGTTGATAAAAATCCACAGGTTCCTTTCTTGGTTCTTCTGGCACCGAAGTGCCGCATCTATCAAAACACAGATGTTATCTAAGATGTTTGTAATTCAAATAAATTGAAGCACATCATTATTCCAGCTGTTTTTTACTCTAATTTCTGTATCGCTTTGGCAGGGAGTGAAAATACTCATTGTAGGATAGCTTCCATGAAATTAACAGGTCATCGGTCTCAAGGAAGCCTCCTGAATTTTGTTTTGCTTCCAGGCTTACATCAGTAGGTGGCTCCTAAATAACAGCAGGACATGTGAGTGAGATGGCTGCAATGGTAATAAAGGTCACTGGCACCATGACCACATTCCTTTCTGTTTTGAGGGTCCCCCCTGTACTAGATTTGAGGCTGCAGCTCCATGTCTTCACACACAAACCTTTTCATTTTGGCTGGGGAAATGGGTTTATGTGTCTTTGAGGCTGTCATTGGTTCATGTAAGACATTTACCAGTTTCATTACATGCAAACTGGTTTTCAGTCTGTGTTCATGAACTCATCGTGAACAGAGATCTTGTGCCAGGCCCTTGACACCATGTGGAGCTAAACAGAATTCCCCAAATTTAAAACAATAATGATAATAACAATTTTTGGTTTTTGTCTGCATGTAGATGCTCCATGCTACATCCTCTACCTCTCCATCTGTGCATGGAGGCAAAGCATCCTCCTCTGTCACCCCTTTTTTTCAATTATTTGTCTCTCTATCCCCCTGTCCCGATGTCCAGATGAAGCTCATGAAGCTGCTTCAACGTCTCCCGGCCAGTGTGGTTCGGCGGCTGCACCGAGAGCGCTACAGGAAGCCCTCTTGGTTAACACCAATACCGGACAGTCACAAGCTCACAGAGGACGACATCACAGAGTTTGTCCAGAGCATGATGCAGCCAGTTCTGCTGGCCATGTTCAGCAAGACGGGCAGTCTGGACGCAGCCCAGGCCCTGCAAAACCTCGCTCTGATGAGGCCCGAGTTGGTGATTCCCCCTGTGCTTGAAAAGTAAGTTCATACTAGGAAGTGGATTTTTGTTTACTCAAGTTCCGCTGTTTATTTTTGATCTGTTCCTAATGGATAGGCCACATTTGCAAACAGAAACAAAGGGCTTATTGTTCTATCGTCTGCCATAGGACGTACCCGGCTCTGGAGACCCTGACAGAGCCCCACCAGCTAACAGCCACTCTGAGCTGCATGATTGGGGTGGCACGGAGCTTAGTGTCAGGTGGAATGCGCTTTCCTGAGGGACCTACTCACATGCTGCCCCTGCTCATGAGGGCCCTGCCTGGCGTGGACCCCAACGACTTCAGCAAGTGCATGGTGCGCTCCATTGTTTGCCCTCCATCTGCTCTCCCAGGATACATCTGATGTTTTGGTTTTAAGCCTGAACTTCATGGATGTGACACAAACCTATTGTTTCCACAGATCACATTTCAATTTATTGCTACATTTGTGACTCTTGTGCCTTTGGTGGATTGTTCTTCTGCACTTCATGAAAGAACAGACTTGACAGAGGTGAATTACTCCATCTGTCAGACTTTCTCACGAGTAACCAAAATATATGATCGTAGGAAAGAGGTTAATGTTTTTCTTTTTTTTTGTGGTACTCACAGGTGGAAAGGGAATTGTGCTCTGCCTCTGCTGAGTTTGAAGACTTTGTGCTCCAGTTTATGGACAGGTACCTAATTTTTATACTCAACATTGCATCAAAAAGCAACCTAGGCAAAAGATTTCAGGAATTCAGTTGTGATCGTCTCATGTTAATGAGAAGCTAGTTTCTTTAACCACATCTCAATGAGAAGTGTCAGTGTTTGCTTGTTGAGGTCGGATATACAGTATAGTCTGTGTATGATGTTTGAGAGGAATCATTTTAATTTGTGGGCTTTTGCTCCATGCAGATGCTTTGCCCTGATAGATAGCAGCACTCTGGAACAAACTCGCGAGGAAACTGAAACGGAGAAGATGACTCATTTGGAGAGTCTGGTTGAGCTGGGGTTGTCCTCCACTTTTAGCACCATCCTCACACAGTGCTCCTTGGACATATTCAAGGTCTTGCCTCTTTTGGGATTTTCTTTGTCTTTACATTTTCAGAAGCATTAGGTATTAAAAGTTAAATGTGTCCAAATATTTCTGTCTTGTGTGTGTATATGTATATGTGCTCAATATATATACGTGTTATACATTTGTAACAGGTGGCTCTGGAAAAGGTTTTCAACTTTGCAACAACCAACATCTTTGAGACGCGTGTTGCAGGGAGAATGGTGGCCGACATGTGTCGAGCTGCTGCCAAGGTGAGCCTTACCGCCTCAGCCTCGTACTGACCTAGCGCATCTTTTGTCAGGCTCTCAGTCCAGTGCATTCATCCTCCATGTGCTTCTATTGTTAGTGTCACCCTGCAGAGTCTCTGAAGATGTTTGTGCCACACTGCTGCAATGCCATAAACCAAATCGCTGTCAGTAAGTGATCAAAACGCACTTAGAGGTGGCTTACCAAGGAATGACCTGTGCTTTATTCCTCCAGTCGTTGCAGGTTGGATGATGCATATGTTTTGTTCTTTTACAGATGAGGAAGTGTTGAATGAGGAAGAGCTTGACAAGGAGTTCTTGTGGAATCTCCAGCTGCTCTCTGAGGTGAACTAAACCTCTCCAACCCAGTATTTGCCCAACCCCCAAGTAGAGAATAAATGCTCGAGCAGTATTTTTCACACTTTTACCATTTGGCCTTCAGGTGTCTCGGGTGGACGGGGACAAACTCTTGCCCTACCGCTCTGATCTGGTCCAGATTTTGCAATTGACACTTCACCTTAAGTGTAAGCAGGGCTACATACTCGCTTGCAACCTGTTGCACCACATCCTTCGCTCCACTGCCCTCATCTACCCTACAGAGTACTGCAGTGTGCCTGGAGGCTTCCACCAACCAGTCAGTGACTACCTCCCCATCACGGTATGCATATTGTTTGGCTGGCACATATTCAGTGAGAATTTTCTTTGCTGTCCTGGTTTGCCATCTGACAAATGAAGCGTCTACTCAACCCTGTCTTTGCAGGACTGGGGTCGGCCTGGAGATTTATGGAACTTGGATATCCGATGGCACGTTCCTAGTGTTGAAGAGACCTCGTTGGCTTTTTACTTGCTGGACCTGATCCTCCAGCCTGAACTCCAGCGCCTTCAGAGGTTTGCTAAAGGCGAGCAGGAAATGAGCAGGTAAAGACATCTGAGCCCTGCCCCGTACAGAAATACTCTATGAGATCTTTATTGTGTTGACAACTCTGTTTTGGTTTTTAGAGATGATGTCCTACAGAGTCTCACTATTGTCCAGCACTGTCTCCTGGGAGCAGGGAGTCTGATGCCTCCTCTGAACGGGGAGCCCATACCTGAACTGTGAGTATTTGCATACACATAATAAATGTTCTGAACAAGAAAACACGAGGGAAACTCTGTTAAACCTCTATTAAAGTATATTAATAAAAGGATTCATTACAACAATCTCTCCCAATTATCCTTTAAAGCTTCAGTTTAAGTGTCTGTGTTCTTGTTTTTTCTCATAGGGTTCATAGCTTGGTGAATCTTGATGAGACCACTTTGTACACAGGGATGGAATATGGTAATGGAGGATCCTTTAAAATGCAAAGGCAGTCTATTGTTTTCTGCAGCATTTTTTAACTCTTTGATATTTATCCCATTTGCAGATGAAACCAGAGAGAACTACAGAGATGCTATCTGTAAAGTGATGAGGCAGCTGCTTCGTACGTGTTCACCGACTTAACCTCTGTCATGATCTCGTAACGCCACGCCACGTACATAACCACTGTGTGGTTTCCCATCTCACAGTATTAAGTCCTTCTCTGTCCTTCCCATCCTTTTGCAGATTATATCCTGGAGCACTCTGAAGATGACACAAAGTCTCTCTTCTCCATCATTAAGGTGGGTAAGCAGTGAAATAGGACTGAAAGCATATATTTGCAAAGCAGTAACACATTTTTCATAATTAATCTACAAGAAAAGCTGTTATGTGAAGAAAAACCTTAGCTGCACATATCTGTCTGGGAACTTGTTGGCCAAAACTGGTTTCAGAAAATGTCATATTGACAAAATATAATATAGCTCCCCTTTAGCTTAATTCGATTTTCGCCATTTGCTGTTTTATTTGATGATGTACAGACCCAGTTTCTGAAACACTAATTAACAGCTACTCGTACACGTTTCAGATCATCAGCGACCTGTTGCACTTCAAAGGTTCTCACAAGCATGAGTTTGACTCCCGCTGGAAGAGCTTCAACCTTGTGAAGAAATCGATGGAGAACAGAGTGAGACATCTTACTGTGCTCCTGTTACTTTGGGACTTTTTTTTCTGTAGGGGGGTTAAGAACGGGGCTTGAGGTTACAAACTGGAAACTAGCTTGCTGTTGTGCTTGCAGCTTCACGGAAGAAAACAGCACATCAGAGCCTTGCTAATCGACAGAGTCATGCTCCAGCATGAAGTAAGTCTTTAATGACAGAACTCTTCAGGTGTTTTTGTATTTTTGTGCTTTTCTAACTTTAAATCCCCTTTTTTAATCAGCTGAGAAAACTGACTGTGGAAGGATGTCAGTACAGAGGCATTCATCAGGAGCTGATGAGAGATCTGTTGAGGCTTTCGACAAGCACATACAGTCAAGTGAGTTCCACAAGACATTAAGATTTCTGTTTTGTTTCAACTGGACAAGTGTTTTTAAGTACACTGTTGAAAGCAATTCCCTTTTTAATGCGACTTCTTACGGCATACAGGTACGCAGCAGAGCTCAGAATGTGCTGTTCACTGCGCTGGGAACCTACAATTTCTGCTGCAGAGATCTGATCCCTCATGTCCTTGAGTTTCTCAACCCAGACAACAGCAGTGTTACTCTACAGCAGTTCAAAGTACGACAACCCCGATCACGCAACGTGAAAACTTGAAAGCAAATGCTTATCATTTGTGTTTAGGAGTTAATGCTCCAATGTGTAACATCTGGGTTTTTTTTGGTTTTTTTTTTTCAGGGAGCTTTGTACTGCCTGCTGGGAAATCACAGTGGAGTGTGCTTGGCTAATCTGCATGACTGGGATTGCATTGCTCTGACATGGCCTGCCATTGTGCGCTCTGGCCTCAGCTCAGCCATGTCTCTAGAGAAGCCCTCCATTGTGCGACTCTTTGATGACCTTGCAGATAAAATCCATCGTCAGTATGAGACCATCGGCGTAGACTTCTCTGTGAGTTCCACTCTTCATAATTGGCCTCATAGATTAAGCCTCCCTTGGCAAAGCAAATGTGTTCGACATAGCACGGTACTCAGATTTCAGTTGTACTGCCATAATGCTGAACAGGACAAGGTTTAAAAATTAACAGTAAAATAAATGCCCCATAGCATGAGAAGTAATGGGGAACTCTGCTTTCAGTTAAAGTAGACATAAACAAGTCAGATATGTGGGAGTGATAGATGGCCTAGAGTTATTTATGTGTCAAAGCGCTGTAGAATTCCCAGATTTGATGGTAGTTTTAATTTCTAAATGATTAAGCTTTTAATACGGGATTTTTTTTTTCTTCCTTTTTTTCATTTTAAAACAATACCGAGCACAGAGCTCCATCAGCCTAAATAAATAAGCCTTAGACAAAGTGAACAATTGGCATAATGCTCCACTAATCAGTTCTTTGTGGTAAAGCGGTCAAACAAATCATGTACTTGGTGTCACCTCATTAACGTAATGGCAGCATCATTCTCTGGGCTTGTTTTTCTGCAGGAGATTTATTTTTATTAATTTTATTTATTTATTTATTTATTTTTGACTGGCTCATCTTCAAAATTCTTATATGCTTAAAAGAAATGTGCCTTTCTTTAAAGATCCCTGATGATTGTTGTGCTGTGGCGAACCAGCTAATGACTGCGGGAGGTCCTTTTCCTGAGCAACCTGTGCCCTCTGACGAAGAGGCCAAAGAAGGTCTAAGGAGGCAAAAGCTAAAGAACTCTGAGTCTGTTGAGTAAGTTCTACACCACCAACGACACAAAAGCACCCCCACACCATCAGGTCAGCTCCTCCTGCTTACTTACTGACACTGATTGAGGTGATGGGTTTACTCTGTTCAACATCTGTAGTTATTAAAAGACAAGTTGATGGTATCTTTTGTCTTTGATGTTTTTCTTCCATAACATATGTAAATACTCGTATCGTTTTTACGTCTTTTTTTAAGGAAATACAGACAACTGATTGGGGATCTTCTGGACTGCCTGAGTAACAGAAACATGTAAGATGATATAGTCCACCTCATAAAATCAGATTTTGTCCTGTGAAATATCACCTGTGAAACCCGCTGCTTTTACCATTCCAGGCCTTGGAAGTTTGAACATATTTCTATCGGCTTCATGTCTTTGCTGTTGCGAGATGACCACCAGCTCCCACCTCCTGCTGTCACATTCTTTGTGAAAAGCCTCAACCACGACTCTCTCTATGTGCGCAAGGTATGGAGCGTGCAATTCAGGACACCTGTAGGAGTTGCACGGACGATGGAGCCATTTGTCTGAAACGTCTAACTTTATCCACTAGGTGGCGATATCAGCTGTGGCTGGGATCATGAAACAAATTAAAAGACCACATAAGAAAGTCCCCATCAGCCCCTCAAAGCTCTGTAAGGACAGTAGCTGTTTCCTACCGGCTTTCTTTCGTGTGTTTTTAAATCTAAATTTAATTAGTTTGCAGGAGCTGCCTCATAAATGTGCACCTCTCTTTGGTAGGTGGGGTAATGGAGCCAAATAATCCAGTAGCAGGAGACCGCTCAGACAACCAGTGGCTCCAGTACAACAGCAGCAACCTGCCACAAACACAGCAAGACTGGGACGGTTGTGTGTTCATTGAAAAGACTCACTGGGGATACTACTGCTGGCCAAGGTTCTCATTTCACAGTCCCACTGTCTCTGTCCTGGATCATTCTGTTTAATTTGGTTTTACGTGTTTTAAAACTTGCATCAAACAGCATTTTCAGTATTTTTTTTTTTCTTATTCATATTTAATCTGCAGAAAAATGATGATGTATGCACCTCAGGAGGAGCAGCCTAATCAAAATCTGAGCAGAGAGGAAATGACAGAGGTGTGTGCACCTAAGCAATATTTCACATGGAGTTGTGTGAAACGGTGGCATCCGTGAAATAATTTTTCTTCTCCTCGTCACAGCGGGAACAGATCATCTTTGACCATTTCTCAGACCCGCTATTCATCAACCAGTTCGTTGAGTTTCTGTCCCTAGAAGACCGTAAGGGAAAAGACAAGTTCAGCCCCCGTCGGTTCTGTTTGTTCAAGGTGAGAGGACAAAAAAGTTGGGATAATAAGTGAACATTAAAATTTACAATGATAGTAATTTGCCTTCTACCGCTCCCCCAGGGATTGTTTCGTAATTTTGGTGACGCCTTCCTGCCTCTGTTGCGTCCCCACATGGAGCGCCTTGTGACCGACTCACATGAGAGCAAACAGCGCTGTGTGGCAGAGATCATCTCCGGCCTGATCAGAGGCTGCAAGCACTGGAGCTTCGCAAAGGTAAGGATTTAAATCGAGCAAAGCGTTCGTTTCTGTAAAACCCCCAAAGAGTGCCCTTTTCTAATGCAAGTACTCGCTGTGCGGCAGGTTGAGCAGCTGTGGAAGCTGTTGTGTCCTTTGCTCCGCACGGCCCTGTCAAACATCACAATAGAGACTTACGCAGATTGGGGCACCTGCATCGCCACAGCCTGTGTAAGCCCATTTCCTCGTTTACACTCGTCATTACCTTTTCACCGGTTGGGCTTGTATTGCCCATCTTTCCTTAAGCATAAGTGCTGTTTCTGGCTTTAACAGGAGAGCAGAGACCCACGCAAGCTTCACTGGCTCTTTGAGATGTTGATGGAGTCTCCCGTTAACGGAGAGGGAGGTTCTTTTGTCGATGCTTGGTGAGCACAGAGGTCCTTTCCATAAGCTGCTCTTGTTTTCATTTGTTCTGTTGTAACAAGACGATGTGCGACGCATGTGTTCCTCTTTCCTTCCTCAGTCGCCTGTACGTGCTGCAGGGAGGTCTGGCCCAGCAGGAGTGGCGTGTTCCAGAGCTTCTGCACAGGTTGCTGCAATACCTCGAGCCCAAACTCACACAGGTGTACAAGAATGTACGGGAAAGAATCGGCAGGTGAGTTTTTATTCCTTTTTCTTTTTTATCTTCCTCGTAAACATTAGTGACTTTTTCTTCTAACTCCTTGTGCATTGTTCTGTCTCATCCCGTCATATCTAGCGTGCTTACGTATATCTTTATGATCGACGTCAACTTGCCTTTAACTCAGCCAACCACATCGCCACGCATCTCAGACTTCACAGAGAGAATTCTGCTGCTGCTGAAGCCCTTAACGGAGGGGGATGAGGAAATCCAGAATCACGTGATTGAGGAGAATGAGGTGGGGGTGCAGGATGAGAGGACGCAAGCAATCAAGTTACTCAAAACAGGTGGGTTGGCCTGTCATAAGCCTGCATGTAGAGCTTACTTACTATAAGCAATGTGAAGCACTCATCAGACCGTTCCATCTGCAAACGCCCGCAGTGCTCAAGTGGCTGATTGCAAGTGCTGGTCGCTCTTTCACCACCGCTGTCCCAGAGCAGCTGCGTCTGCTTCCCCTGCTCTTCAAGGTGAAATACTGATTTCTTTGTAGTTTTTATCCAGATACTTTCTCTTCCACCAACTTTGAATTTGTCCATCCTGCAATTCCAAGGGGCGTATCCCTTACTTCCCATGTTGTTGCTGCTTTTTAGATCGCTCCAGTTGAAAACGACGACAGTTACGATGAACTTAAGAGGGATGCAAAGACGTGTCTGTCTCTGATGTCTCAGGGACTCCTCTACCCTGATCAGATCCCGATGGTGCTCACTGTCCTGAAAGAGGTGAGTCATCTGGATGCAGTGGCTGTTATTTCACTCCTCTCCTACAAATTAAAAGGCTTTTATATTGCCCATCCCTGTTTTATAATCACAATCAGAAATACTTTAATAATCCCAGAGGGAAATTATTTAATTATTTAATCCCAGAGGGAAATTATTTATAGCATGAAAGGCTGTTAAGTGGGGGGGTTGAGAGGTAGAAAAAGGGAAGCATCTAAACTGTGTGTCCATGATTCATCTGTTTCTGATGCTGTATATTCTGTAATTAGCAACATTAAGTTAGAAGCCTCCTCATAAGCAAATGCAAGACTACATTCAGTTTTGGTACCATTCCATTTGATTAAGCGAGGGGCATACATGTAGACAACAGAGAGTATTTCAAACAAATACATTTTTAAAATGAATAACAAGATATAAAAAATTCAAATTAAACCTTTGCTCTTTTAGTTTTTTCCAGAGCTCATAATGATAAACCTAAATGTGCAGTAAATCAGGGCACAGGTTGTTTCTGTAAGACTGTCTTACTGATGTGGGTCTGTTGTGTTCCAGATTGCTGGGAGCAGCTCTTGGCATGCCAGATACACGGTGCTCACATACCTCCAGATCATGGTTTTTTACAACCTGTTCACATACATGAGTGACCCCAAAGCGGTGAATGATGTGCGTGCTCTGGTGATCAGCCTCCTGGAGGACGAGCAACTTGAGGTAAAAACAGCCCCAAACATGCAGCAGTCTGATTTTCTAACAATAATCATAAGCCGTTGGCCACTTCATGCTTGTTTATGCTGTCAGGGACTCGTGCTGTCTTTCAGCTTTAATGTTGTGATTCAGCACTGTACTTCTGGCTGTCTGCTGTACCCCAGTACTGTTTCTATGGAAACCACTAGCTGCATTAATCTGTTGCCATGGTAATAACTTTCAAATTTAAGAGGACACGAAGGAGAATGCTGGAATAGATCAAAATAATGTGTCTTTTCTTCCAGACAACATATAACCTACTGTGCAGAATAGTAACCAGGCAGAATCCTATAGTCTATTCAAGAAGTCCCGACACTCTGTTCCTCAGGAATTTTTTTTTTTTTTTTTAAATTGGCCTTTGAACCGTTAATAAAAAAAAATGACATCAAACTCAATAGATGAACCTGTGTTGTGGTTACACCAACACAAAGCGCCATCAAACCCATATTAAATTCAACACAGTTGTTGTTGTTGCTTTATAAATCTTAATAGTTTGATAAAAAGTCAGATTTCTTACCTCAAGGAACTCTCCGTAAAACCAAAAGTGTGTTTGAAAGCACAAGATATGAAGAAGTGGCAGTACTAAAAAAAATTCTACTGCAGACAAATTTGAAAGTGATGTTTCCTTCAGATAGAAATCCTGCAAAGATATAATACAGGACTACACCTGGCCCCTCATATGGTCATTAAATAATGGCTGTAAGGAAGAGTATAAAAGTCTGAGCAATGCCTGATGTTGGGAGGAATCCTCTCTAGAGCCCAAACCTCAACATCATTGGGCCAGTGTAAAATCATCATAGAGGAGAGCAGAGCCAAATACAGCCAACATCCAAAGAAAGCCTTTAGAACTCAGACTGCTTCAAGAAACGAGCAGAAATGTCTGCTCCTATATCCTATTTACCAGTCACCATGTAAATGCATGGGGGAGGGCTTACACTCATCAACAGCCCTCAAGATACTCTTTTCATCTGTCTCAGATTGATGTGTGAAGGGTTTATCACGACACTGTGGAGATACAGCACCCCACTGAAATTCCTAACCCCTTGGTTTGTCCTAGGTACGAGAAATGGCTGCCACTACTCTCAGTGGCTTCCTTCAGTGTAATTTCCTGTCCATGGATGGCCCCATGCAGTCACATTTTGAAGCTCTCTGCAAAACCCGCTTGCCAAAGAAGAGAAAAAGGGAGCTTGGCTCTGCAGTGGACACCATACCTTCTGCTGGTAAGGAACTGTTGGTCCCCCGTTCAGGACTCAGCTACTCAAACATCAGCGACGATGAACTCATTGTGTTCTTTGCTTCTTCTTTCCTGGTGTTTGTAGACCTGGTGCGTCGCCATGCAGGTGTGCTGGGCCTGAGTGCGTGCATTCTGTCTAGCCCATATGATGTTCCCACCTGGATGCCTCAGCTGTTGATGGATTTAAGTGCTCATCTCAATGACACACAACCCATAGAGGTGTGCACAATTTCTTCAGCGACCAACCGTGAGTTGTCGTGTGCCCAACTAAAGGAAGTCACAATTGCTTTTCTATGCTTTTAGATGACTGTAAAGAAAACTCTGTCAAACTTCCGCCGAACTCACCACGACAACTGGCAGCAACATAAGCAGCAGTTCACAGATGATCAGCTGCTGGTCCTCACAGACCTGCTGGTGTCCCCCTGTTACTATGCCTGAAACCCGGTAAAGCGTCTGAACTTTACCCTCCTGCTGCAACAGAACTGTCTTTGAATGTGTTTTGGAGCCAGTTCAAAGATCGTCACGTTTGTCTTTCTCTTCTGTCAGTTTAGGACACGCCTAAACTACACAGACACCAGCTCTTGTTGGGGAGGAGATCCCCCAGTTCCTGACTAATAAGAACACAAGATCCTCCCCAACCTGGAGGATGTGGAACACAAAGGAACTGCACTGTGGCCCTCACACAGATCAAAATGTTGTGTATTTATGTGTCTAGCTCATTTACATTTCTACTATACTTAATATTTAAGGATCAATCATGGCAGGTTGGAATGACCTGCAGTTTGTAACATTACTGTACAGATTTCTTTCTTTTTCTTTGATTCTTTCTTTCTGTCTTTCTTTCTTTCTTTCTTTCCTTCTTTCTTTGTGGCTTGTGTGTGTGCATGAACACGGGTTTGTGTGTGTGCGTGTTTATGGGATGCTTGATGACATCTGCCGGTGTCCCACACATTTCTCAGGATTATATCTGAAGTACCCGCTCTGAGCCAACAGTGTCCAGTGCAGGACATTCTATTTAGTATCTTCCACAAGCGAAGCGTTTGCTACAAGCCACAGAGTATCGACCATTAAACTATGGTCTCCTTAGGTTAGACCGAAATTTGAAACACACAATGCTTGTGTGGCTGTTTGTTCTATATGTGATTATATGCATCATGTATGTGTATATCATGGTATAGCAAATATGCACAAACTCATTTATTTATTTGCTACGTTGAAGTGCTGAAGTGTGTGTTTTGTTTGGCTTTTTCATAGTGTATACCTGAGATTATGTAGATGGCTGAGCTGTTAGGAATGGAGCCTATTTTCATCTTTCTTGCAAAGAAAGGGAGAGCCAAAGCTCCCCGCTGCTGTGCTGTGCGTTTGTTGTGTGGACTGGAGCACAGTTGGATTCCCATGTTATGCATCTCAATGCACGTGAAAAGCCAAATTGCCTGTCCGGAATTGTGACCTCTCCCCTCTTACCACAGATTTCATTTGACATGTTCTGAGGACCCAGTGAGGTGACATTACTTTGGTAGATGTCTGTTTGCCCCTGATGACTTGAAATCAGTCTAAGCATTTAGTTACCTCACTTACAAATAGTGTAGTGCCAAAACTGCAGTGTTTTTTTTCTTCCTCTATTTTTAGATATTCTGTTTGAACATAAGAAATGACAATAAATTGTTTGTAACAAAATCGGTTGTTGACTTGTTGCTTTTACTGACACTGACACTACAGAAGAATGCTGTTCTTGTTGTTTTTCTTTTGTTTATAAACCATTTAAAAAAAAAAGGAAAAATACTGTAAATTCCTTTAGATGTCCTTCGCTTGACCAAATAAGGAGAAGGCTTCATAACTCAAAATATTCCATCTCGCCACTTTAGTCAACTAAAAAAAGCTTAGGCCTCTTAGATGCATACCTTGCTAATGGCATGAGCCTTGGTGGCACGTGATCTGTGGTCCTGCCTTAAAAACTGAGGAGTTCAGAATAATTCTGTTTCCTAGCAACCGTTGTTGAGGAAGTAATTAACGCCTCACATTTATTCAATTCATTCGATGAGAAGCTTTTTGCAGCTTTAACAACTTCATGCACACAAAAAATTATTTTAAAAAGCTGTTTTAAATGAATAAGATACATTCGTATGATATACTTGGTCATTTCACCATGCAGTATTTCAAACCATTTTCAGCGTTATTCGAGCTGACAATCTGTTTTTGAATAGCCTTTTTTTTTATGGACGATATTTTCTATAGATATGGGGTAGCTTCAAAGATTTCTATGGGAACAGCAGTAAGGCGAGTGTCTACCGCTTGAATGCAGTGGTTATGCCCATGCTCAGATACGTAGACGGTGACTTCATACTCATTTTTCAGCGCACGTCCTTCGCCTGTCGCTCGTCCGTTGCAGCGGATATAACGCGAAAAAAAAATATCGGCTTCCTTTTTGCGAATCATATTAGCGGATATTTCAACAGACATTTGAAGAAACGCATTTTATATCTGTGTGTGCCTAGAAACTGCCGCTGAGGACCCTTCCCCTCCCCTCTTTCCTTAAATCGTGCCCCGTAGCAACGGTGCGTCCACCGTTTCCAAATGAAGAGGGGCTGGAATCAGATGATGATGATGATGATGGATGCACGACCCAGCACAAGTGGTATGATATACTTGATCTAATCATCGGTTATACGTGTTTAAAGAAATGAATCTCCTTAAATCCAAGATGTACATGGAAACCGTTTAAGTGCAAAGAGATTCTATGGATTTAGGCAGATGCTGTTTGTTGGGGAGCGTGGGGGGGTGGGGGGTGGGGGGGTGTTTTAAGGTATGATTGCCCAAATTCAGTGGTGCATAGTCTATTGCAGCATGTGTCTGAGATCTTATTAGATGTTTTTACAGAGACTTCTCATTGGGCGGTGCATTGCATTCTTTCATTAAGGTGTTGAATATGGTTAAATGCACAGTAAATTACAGCTGCCTTTGTATTCTTTGTAGCTCTCTACCGAGGTGGCAGCAATGGCGGAGCCAACAGATGCAGTGTTCATCGTGCTCTCCTTCCACGTAGAGGAACAATGCTTAAATCGATGACAGGGGGAGTCTTTTAAACTACCAACAATACCATGAACGTCACTCTTTTGCCATCATACCTGGTAGATATGCCAAGGCAGCAGAACTTCAATGGCACCCATGGCACACACACACATTCAGGTTGGGCAGTGATCCACACTGCTACGCTGAGCTTTTGCTCCATGCTCCTCATTTCCATCTTCTTCCTGGGCTCTTACGGGAACCTTGTAGTGTTTTTGTCTTTTTTCGATCCGGCTTTTCGCAAGTTCCGCACCAACTTCGACTTCATGATCCTCAACCTCTCCTTTTGCGACCTGTTCATCTGTTGTGTGACGGCTCCCATGTTTGCGCTGGTGCTCTTCCTGGACGCAGGAGGTGGCGATGGCGTGTCCAAAAGTTTCTGCTTCGCGTTCCACATCACCAGCTCGGGTTTCATCATCATGTCCCTGGAGACGGTGGCGGTCATCGCGCTGCACAGGCTTCGAATGGTTTTGGGGCAGCAGCCGAACCGCACCGCCTCCTTCCCCTGTACGCTGGCCCTCACGGCCCTGCTGTGGACGTCCAGCTTCACCTTGGCTGCGCTCCTTACCATGCGAGCATACCCACGCAGGGATGGACCCTGCTTGCCCCATTTTGGCCTGGGAAGTGGGCAGGCCAGAGTCGTGTTGTATGTGTACCTGGCAGACTTTGCCTTTTGTGTTGCAGTGGTGTCTGTGTCCTATCTGATGATCGCTCAGACACTGAGGAAGAACGCACAAGTGAGGAAATGCCCCATTATCGCTGTAGATGCCAAATGCCCGCCACCCCCGCCCCCTCTTGTTGCAGCTGGATTTGAGAGCATGCAGTGTGCCGTCCAAGGGCCGTCTCTCTACCGCAACCAGACTTACAACAAACTGCAGAATGTGCAGACACACTCTTATGCCAACAGGACCAGCCAGCCCGTTGTTCCGGGGGCCGCCCAAGGAGCCACCTGCTGTCAACTGGTCTCGTCGGTCAATTTGGCCACAGCTAAAGACTCCAAGGCGGTTGTCACCTGTGTAGTTATTGTGTTCTCTGTATTGCTTTGCTGCTTGCCGATGGGGGTCTCACTGGCGCAGGACGTTTTGTCACCAAAAAGTAATTTTGCTCACTACCAGTTTGAACTATGTGGCTTTGTGCTGATTTTTCTCAAGTCGGGCATCAATCCGTTCGTTTATTCACGCAACAGTGCAGGCCTCCGCCGCCGCTTGCTGTGCTGCGTTCAGTGGGCCGCGCTGGGTTTTCTCTGCTGCAAGCAAAAGACCCGCCTGCACGCCATGGGGAAAGGCAGCTTGGAAGTCAATCGCAATAAATCTTCCCATCACGAAACCAACTCTGCTTATGTGCTGTCACCCAAGCCCCAGAGGAGGCTGGTGGACCAAGCTTGCGGGCCCAGCCATTCAAGGGAATGTGGCGGCAGTCCAAGAGCCACATGTGTGCGCAAGCCTCGCCTCCCGAGTACCTCTACGCCAATCAACACCCGCATCGAGCCCTATTACAGTATCTACAACAGCAGTCCCTCTGCGGGGCCCAGCTCCCCCACCAGCCTGCAGCCTGTCAGCTCTCAGACCTTTGCCTTCGCTAAGTCCTATGTAGCCATGCACTACCACACTCACCAAGACGCACTGCAAGACTTTGACAGCACATCAGTGCACCAGATCCCCATCCCTTCAGTCTGATTACAGACAAGGGCTCCAGGAATCTCACCATGGCTTTAAATAAAATGTGCATTCAAAGAAAACATGAAAAAAGAGATTTGTTCATGTATTTGGAATTAGTATTAATCCTTTGTTATTCTCTATACTGGCAAGGCATATTATCAGAATTAAAAGCTTGTAACTAAAACCAAGCATAAGTTTTTTTTTTCTAATTCTCTCCCTCAACATGACAGTTTTGAATGGACTAAATTCATTTCTCACTTTTATGGGTACAGAGTCACATTAGTCATCCTTTTATGTTCTACCACGATATCCATAGAGGCTTTCCTTTTCGGTTTCTGGCTATTATGACTCACTCATGGCTGTCAGTGCAATGCAGCTAAAAGTCAATGGGTTGTTTCTGAAAGCACATGTTATGTGTGAACCTAATACCATTTTTCACATAATAAATGTTTGGCAGGTGCAGAGTATCTTCATTCCTAAATGTATTGATCAGCTTCTCAGCTGTGACAGAATAACACTTGATACTAAACTAGACATTGCTTTTGATAAAAAATGTGTCGAAATACTAATGATGCTATTACAAATAATGTGTATTTGGTAGGATTGTAAAGAATGAGATTTCTGCATCATAAAAGGGGTTGCAGCGCTTATTCTGAGAAAATTGTCAGCCTAAAGGCATCACACAGACTTGTGATTTGATGGTTCACCATTTCTAAACCCTGACTGATGTGCTTATTCACATCACTATGCTGATGTGAATAATGTGAGAGCAAGCTTATCTCTGAAAAGGAAAAAGCTTTCATAACTATTTTTTATATGATGAGTCAGCACCCTCTAGTGGCTTGAAATTCACCATCACAAATACTTGCAAATTTCATAAAAAACAATTAAGAAAGGCTCTTTATTAATTCCCTTGTTGCCATGGTGCCCCCACGTCTTTTGAGAAATGTATCTTTGTCTTATAATACACCACAAAAGATGCTTTATGTTTCTTTTTTAATTTTATTCTTGGCTTCAAACCCACTGGTCTTTAATCATTGACACAACAGTGACAAAGATCTGTGCATCTTTGTAAATGCACAGGAAACCTTCTGAATAAACCCCCAGACCCCCATCTTGATTCTACTAAGAATATTTGAATGACTTAGTCACCTTTGTTATCCTGCAACCCCCTCAAATGCATAAGTTACACTCACTCAAAGCACACATTCACCCTTTTCAAAACCTTCCCCAGAGCTGCTTTTTTTCATTTCTACTCATCCAAAGTGCCCCAGCTAAGCAGCTGGTCATTCCAGATCCTGCACGCACACACACACAAATCCAGACATTGGACACAATAAAACCGCTATGGATATAGCTGATTTCCCCGGAAATTGCAAATGACCTGATTCATCACTCCTTTACTTGCAATTAATCAACATAAAGAGAAAGACAGATATGAAAGTCAGGGCAGTATTTCCGCTGCCCTGTGGGGTGAGGGATGACCCCTTTTCACTCTTTGCAACAGGGCTATTGTGCTGCAGGTGTCTGATGTAACATCACCAGCTGCACGGTGAGGGCATGGGTCGGGGCTCTGCTCCTGGGCTTCATGAAGTCCAGCTTCAGGATCAGGTTTAACCTTAGTTTTGGCTCTCAGCACAGTGTCAAAGGCGTCTATTCTTCCGTCATACAGGCTTCTGTTTAAAAAAACGTCCTCCATCCTTCATGCCCCGCTGCTGTTGCACGAGCTTTGTCAGTCTAACTGGAAATTGACAGAAGTCCATGTTCGTCAGCTGTATCGAGAATTCTGCATATGACTGGAGATTCCACCTAGTGAGAAAAAAACAGATGTCACTTTGAAAGAGGTGTGAGGCCAACTGTACACATAGCTTGCAAACACTTTTGCTTTAAATCAAACCTGATTTAATTAGGTCCTAATCAAAGCTAGTCATAACAGTGCTGAAAAACAAAATGACTGATGTGGGATCTACATGTACCCACTGCCTGTAGTGTCATGTGCTCTTAAAAGTAAAGAAACGTCTAACATAAATTAAATGGAAAAAGTTATTGAGGGATAATCCTATTGATGACTACTTTAATGACATTGATAAGGATGCAAAAATGATCATGTGACCACACAACGGATTAAATGCCTCGCCTCAAATCTCATCGGCTGTGGCGACAGGAAAACTTACCCCAAGGATGTATTGACACGTCTGAGGCTCCAGCATATAGACTGTGACAGCATGGGGAGACTCAGACTCCTTACATCTGACAGGGAGATGAGAGAGATGGAAGTTAATCACAGAAAAAAATAGAGAGGGATTGTACTACTCATGTGTTGTCTAACCCACCATCCCACATTTTTAACTAAACTGTTCACTCACTTGAGCTTGACAATGACCTGCCTGGGCCTCCCTGTCAGGTCACACACGTCACCGTGACCATAGAAATGTGAAACCAACCTATTGTGTTGAAAAGAACGGAAAACATGAAGGATGAGTTCAGTTTAATTTTTAATCAGCCAGCCGAAAAGTTCAAATATGGAAGCGACCTACTTGACTTTCTGTACTCCGTCATCTTTCAGCTGGTAAGAGCGGGCGACGTTCTTCTTGGCCCAGTCAATGTGCTCCTCTGCGTTCCAGGTCCCGACAACCACGATGTTCTTTCCTTGCTCTTTGTCCTGTGATGCCCAGGAGCAACGGATCAGTTTAATCGAAGACAAATCCCCACTTGTGTAGCGGCAACTGACGAGGCATTTTTTCCTTTTTCACATTTTTACCAGCAAAGACGAGGTCTTACCTCGTGGTACTGATGGACATGTTTTCCGTAGCAGAACTCATATTTCCACCACCCCACCCCCTGAAATGGACACGATGAGATCAGTTTAAATAACTCTTCAAATAAGACTCAGACAAGCATATCTCACCCCGTGCAAACAGTAGGAGCCGCTCAGGAACTCTTTGATCAGCTGATCATCGGTCATGCGAGAGATGTGAGTGGTGCCCACGGTGACCTGAGACTGCCCTCCTACAGTCATGGGCTTGTGAGTTGAGGTGAAGGCCTCCTCTCTAACTGGTGCCACCTCCTCCTGAGACATGGTGGAGATGGGTTTGAGCCACGTGCCCCCTCGTGAATGTAAAAGTTTTGTCCTTTTTTACAAATGTCTAACCTCTCTGGTGTCGGCGCTGAAAGGAGGTTTAAGCTGGTCTTCTTGCTCCTTGTCCAACTGGGCGAGCCTCTGCGGTCGGAGAGGGGATCCTGACAGCGCCTGGCAGAAGATGGCGTTCACCGGGGAGGACTTAAACCTGGAGAGAACAAGAGTCAGGTTTGGAGACACCGAGTGGAAAGCAGACATTAGCGTTAAAGCCCCTCACACATTTTCCTCCCTGCACCATGAGTACAGTCTCTAAATGTCCCACGTTTGGTCACCTGTATTTTGGGTGGGCGCAGAGCAGAGGTGTCAACACCACCACCTCATATTCACAGGTGGTGACCTCGGCCACAGACAGGATCTCATGCTTGGCCTCCGGATGACAGACGTACAACACAGATGTGGAGCGCGGCTCGTCCTGTTTCAGCACGCAAGGGGTCCCATTTCCCATCTCTAAGGAGTAGTAAGGGGTCAGCTGACCTTCGATGTTTTTTGTGGGCACCTGGACACCCAGGTGGAAAAGAAGAAAAGAGGTAACTGAGGTAAGACCTGACAGAAGGTCCGGCAGCTGTGGGTACTCGCGGAGTTGCCCTTACTTCTTTTTGTGTTGCTTTGGCTTTTTCCTTCTCTTCGTCTTGATCTGAAGTAAAGGTTAACAAAACAAACTCTTACATAGCGGCTAAATAAATGGTTGAAATGTGTCATAAAGTGGAATCACAAAGAGATTCACCCGTCTGTGCTGACTGGCTCCTCTGTGCTGCATTCCCCAAGAAGTACTCTTGAACACTGATTTTCTGTGGAGACACACATCACAGCCACTTTGTGCAGGCTCCTCTATCCTGTCATCTGAGTCTTAACCACTGACCCCGCTTACCTGTCCGGTCTCCTTCTCCTCATGATACTGTCTTATATACTTCCCATGACATACTTCATAGGTCCAGTACGACTCGATCTGAAATGTTGACAAATCAGGAGTTATTGGTTTATCCTTAACAGAGCAAACGTCCTCAGTCCGAAAGCACAAGGACGTTTCAGCCATGGTCTGCCAGTGTTGCGGCAACTTTCAGTCTCACTGCTGATGAAAACTGGCTAGAAAAGGAAATATCTCACCCTGTAGGAGCAGCTGTTTCTTTTGAAGAGTGGCTCCAGAAGCTCACCGGGACTGGGTCCGGTGTAGCCCCTGTCATCATCCTGAGGCAGCCAGGGTCAGAGGAAGGCATGAGGAAAAAGACAAAGAGCAAAATAAAAAAACAGCAACTCCAACAGGCTGTGAGGGAGACTTGAAACCGCTTCTCTTTTCAAATTGATTTCGATTTCTCCTTCAGCCAACAATGAACAAAAACAGGAAGGGCTCGATCCTTAATCAAGAAACGCAGCAGCCTCTCTCCCAAAGTGTGACGAGTCCTAAGATATCAAGCATGAACACCTTTGCGTCTTATCCTCTGAAAAATGTCACCCCAGTCTGTTTAAATAAGCACAATGTGTCACATAAGCTGGGCAGCTCAGCCCTTCAAATTAAAGAGAATATTTCTTTTTGAAGTTCCCACTGTTTCTAGATAAATGATTTTTTAAAGGCAAAAGTACTTATTTCATAGCCAGTACTTTATAAGTTAAAACCCTTTTTTGATGTAGTGGCTCATGAGGAACCTGCAATCTTTGTACTTTTATTCAAACAAACTGTTTAAGATCAAGTATTTTTGAATGCCTTAACTGAAAATTGTTCTCAGATGCAAGTTTAAAAGAATCACTTTCTTCTTGCAGCGATTTTCTTGCAGCGATTTTGTTGTTGATTTCTATTTAAAAAAATGTTGCATGCTCTTGATTCTACAAAAGGCATGAGCAAGACAAAGCGGAAATGTATTTTTCTTTCAGCTGCCTACATTTATATTAGTCACAACCTGCAGGTTGGCTGAACACCCTGGTATGAAACCCTGAAAGGTGGGACTAAATCTGACAGCTCACCTCGTCTTTGGCTGTCAGTGAAGGCAGCAGACACTTGTACTTCTCCTTCTCTGTTGTTGTCATTATGACAAAATCATCCTCGTTGTAAAATCCAGTTGAAGTGGGCTGTGAAGCAGAGAAGAGCTCTAAAAACTCAGTTTCATGCAGATCTTTCACAGAGCAAGGAATCTGCTCCTGTAAAGAAAACCGAACGAGCTACGAGAGTAGGGTTGTACCAATGTGAACTCAACGCCAGGCCAGGTGATTTTGAAAGGGACTTCGTCTGTGAAGGAGGGATAACCTCCCCTGTTTGCGGACACACCGCTGCAGACCTCCAACAGCCCTCCCAGGAGCACCAACAGCAGCCCGGCAATCATCTCTCCTGTCCGGCTGCTGAGCTCCCGCAGCCCGCTCATGTGGAATACAGAGAGGGCCTCCTTTTCTCCAATGAAACCTGCCAAATAGAAGGACTAAAAAATACAAAAAGGTCCGGGAAAAACCGGTTTAACAGACTTAGGATATGACAGAGTGAAGCGGATGTCAATACAGCGCTAAAGACAGGAAGTGAACCGTTGACTTGCCACGTCTTGTTCCGCCTGTTGTTCCGCCCATTGGCTGGGCTGAACTCAGCTTCAGCGCCCCCTGGTGGCCGCAGAAGGAAGTGTGAATTCACTTTGTAAGTGGCTTGTAACGTAAAAAAACACCTAAACCAGAGGAAAGAGAACATGTCTCTGACTTTTGTTGAGCCGGTTTTATTTCTGTCTTGTATGTAAGACACAACTCTCTCTCCATATTTTATTTGTTAAATCATGTTGTGTTATTTGTCAGGGTATGATTTATCAACTAGCACTAGCACTTTAATGTGTGATAAATTCTAGACTTCCCTCCTACGTTTGCATTTCTCATGATAACCCAACTATATCCTAATTTTCTGAACCAGAGATCATAAAAGGCAACAACTGTTCTCATACCGTCACAAACTAATTGTAGCAGAAGTGTTTTGCTCTGTATGAGCTTGAGATGGCCAAGACAGCTTTAAAGATAGATGCCTCCTCTCTGCCTCCCTGTGGATGGATTTAGAATTGTGTGTGATGAATGAACAATACTAATACTGAACATGGGGAGCTCTAATTTTTTCAGGATTTGTGTTAAAGCCGTACCCCCAAATCAGAGGCTGAACATTGTATGGTATAATACATTGGCTCAAGTGAAAGCAAGTGGAACAGCTCTGCTCCTCAGTTTCCCCCTGGCTGTTGATTCAGCACTACTGAGTTGATGGATGATAAATAAATTCCCTGCAGCAGAGGATTTCACATGAAAAGAGCTTCCAGCACTCAGAACATGTAAAATACAGGCCTTGAAAAATATGTGTGCTGCATTTCATAATCAGATGTTACCTTGGATAAACTAAAAACAAGGAAAAGATGAGATGAGCATTTTTTCCCCACCTGTTGGTGGAGCTGTTGATGTGAGGATGTTCCACTTGTGAGCCAGGAAAAAAAACGAATGAGATCAGAACAGAGATTCTCAGACGAAGACAGAGAGCATTTGTTGGAGAGGGGGATATGGACGTACAGGGAAGGATATACGCAAGGGGACATACCACCGGATCATTCATCCCCTGCAAGATGTCTTCTGCTCTCATGCATACACATTATGCTCATACCTGTCAGGTTTATGCATTATACAAAAATATTTACATTGTATAGATAGTTAGACTAATCATTTGATAGATAGACAGACAGATAGACAGATAGCTATATATATATATATATTTATATATATATATATATA